TTTTCAGTGAAAAACGAAGCTGCAGGACGAAAAAGCATGAAAATCGTCCTTCTTTCGGTCGTAGAGTTCTTATCAGGGAATCAGCTGGGTGAGGGAGCAGAGTTGGAAATGGGTTTAATTGGGCACGAACAAACTAAGATCAGAATGCGGTTTTACCTAGGGCAGTTGGCATGCTTTTTTTGCTTTTTTCTTCGCTATCAACTTACACAGCACCTTGTCGTCTATATGCAAACCCTAATCCACTATCTGTGATGGCAATGATCGCGGGCTTTGCCTTTAACTGCGTCAGGGATCTGCTTTGCTCTGTCGTCTCCGCCTCTTCGTATGCGATCTCTGCCCTTGCCATACCGTTCTGTCATGTGTGAGGTGCAGTAGTGTGCCATGTTCGGCGATCGAAAGCGCACAAAAACGGGGCTGGAGGGTAGGGGTCCCAATGCCGTCTCTGCTCAGCCTGCGCGGTCCCAAATGTGCAGCATTGCGCCGATACCAAGATCCCGCCCATTATTAGAGCAACCGCAAAAGTCGTGAGAGGAGCATTTGAAGCATTCATTCAAGCACTGGTGATATCTTGGAAGCAAGAACAACAACAGCAAAGCTTTCTCTACATGCTTTTGTAAAGAGGCGTCTCATTAGGTAACATACAGGATCACCCAGATTATACGTGGGTCCATCTGCGCTTCCACAGCCAGAAGCAGCCCTTTAATGACATGCACTGGGACGTCATTCCGAGACCCTGGGAGGGCCTCGGATATGTGCTACACCAGAGCTTAGTGGTTCTTCGTTTCTGCATATTTCGATCAAATAGATATTTACAGTATGCAACAGAAGAGTTCATTGCGAAAACGTGCTGCCGACTGGAAAAAGGACCTGTTACGGTAAGTAGCATCGATTGTACGGACATACCAAAAGATTCATCGAGTTGAATACTCCCTTGCTGGCACATTCTCTATTATCGAGCCAGAGAGTCACCATTTTGAGGGCACAGACCATTCCACGCAAGCATATAGGCGGAGTGGTCTACTACTGTACCCCTTACCGGAGCGTTTCGTGTTCTTATACAGCAGGAACGACGAGCGGGAAAAGGAGAATAGTGAGCCTCACGTACAAACCAGCGATCAGAGTGCAGAATGTGCCTCGATTCAACCAGTCTGGTGAAAAAGTTGGTTAAAAATACCGACTAAAATTGTTTGAAATCAATAATCATAGTATCAGAGCGTGCAAAAAAAGTCCATAGCGCAGAGATTGCTGCGCGTGAGAACGCACGCTTTTTGGATTTCAGACAGCCCTCGAACAGCGTGGACGCGCGTCGACTCTTTACTACTGCGATGACGCTCGAGAGTTATAGGACAGG